CGGCCCGCGGCCCCACTGATGCACCATTTATGTTTCAGAAACCTTAGAGCCATGAAGATCTGAAGCTACAAGGACACTGCAATCGACAGGAAGCCCTGCTGGAAACCTGCACGACACTAGTTTGGCATGGAGAAGAGCGTCCCCGAGTCCAAGAGGAGCGCCGCCGCGCCGACGTTGAGCCCCCGATAACTTTCGCCCGATCACGAGCGGATGAAGGGGCGCCTGCAGAGCCGATGGGCCCTTGATGGCCGCGCCGCAGTGCTCTGCCTGGCCTGGCAATCGCCCGAGCGGCCGAGATGCGCGGCTCGCCCCGCAGCGTGACCAAGAAGGGCAGTTGCCCGAGAACGCGGCCCCCCCCTTGGCTGGCGGAGATACAGCGCCCAGCGCCGCGCAGAGCTGCCCCGGCCACATTTCTGCGCCCCGACGGCGTTCAAGAGCTCGATCTTCGCCTGGCCGGAAAAACGATGGACCTCGGCGGGCCCCGCGGCACCGACGCCCGCCGCCCCCTCGGCGCTGGGCCTCAGGAATGGCCCGCCGGGCAAGTCGGGCCCAAGCCGGCTCGGGCCCTCGCCCCGAGCCCCGGCCCCCGCGCGCAGGCCGTCGGGCATGCCCCAGCGCGCGGCTTTGGGGCCGCCCCAAGTTCCCCTTCCACCCCCGAGCTCTGCAATCAATGATGTCGCGCGGGGTCGCGCACGTGATGGATCCACCCATGATCTCTTCACCCTCGCGCATAGCACCATCGGCGCGACTGTGGAATGCGCCTGGCGACTGCACCCACCACGGCATAGCGGCCCGCGGCTGGAAACCTCTGCGCGGGGGCGCCAGCGTCACCCCGATCCACTGTTCTCGCCTCTCCATGTCTGCGTCGGGCTGGACGGGGTGGTCGCGAACGGCAGCCGCCCACGGGGCGAACTGGCCATCTGGGCCATCCTGGAACAGCTTCTGCAAGTCTGAATCCAAAGCAACACCCAACACCTCCCTGGCCCACCCGGCCCACCCGCCGGCCTCCGAGAGCCCACGGCTGCACCTGGGCACGACGCACTTCTCGACGAGGGCCGCGCCGCGCCACCACTCCAGCAGCGGGCGACGCCTGCGAGGCATAGCGAGGGTGGCCATCGCGCGCGCCCAATCGATCGCAAAACCCCCTAGCTCGGCGGCGCTTCGCGATGGTCGAGGGCGCTGACCTCGAGCGCCTGGACGCAACACTCGCCGCGCCCCCAGGCCACCGCGCGCCGCGAATCCGAGTTCCCGGCGGGGGGGAGTGATCGCTGGAGGGGGGCGGCGCCATCGTAGCGGACCAGCTCGGCGGCCACCGGCTAGTCGATCGGGGCGTCGAAGAAGACGAAGTCCTCCTGGCGCACCGAGGCCAGCCCCTTCTGAGCTGCTGGAGAGCCCCCTGAAGGTAATCCTCGAGCGCTTCTTGCCTGCGATGCTTCGCGTGGGCGGTCTGATTCTGCCCTCTGCCGCTCGGGTCGGGCTGCCGGGCCGGCCCGGGGGCCGCCAGGAGCTGGGCAGCCGCTCGATGAGCTCTACCCCACCGCGCAACGTCACCTGCATTAAGAAAGACCTCGATGCCAGAGCGGGTCTTCCACTGGACCTCGGACGCGGCCCCGACCTCCAGGCCGCGTGGAGCCCCTTCCTCGCGAAGATGCAGCCGATGAGGGCGGCAGCACCTCTGCGATAGGCAGCCTGGCCGCCGGCCGGGAAGACGGGCCTCGCCTCCAAGCTTGCCGCGCCAATTCATCTTACGGCCCTTCCACTCTTGAGGCTGGAGGTTCCGATTTGCCACGTTAATCAAATTATAGTTAATGAGCTGGGGAAAAGCCGAAACTGGAATGAGCTGTTGTCCATTGGTACAGCATACTTTGAACCCTGGGAGACATGAGCGTCGAGGGATCATATGATCACGATGTTCCCGAACATCGTACGCAGTAGCACGGGTGTGAAGCCGTTGAATGGGTCACGGCCGCTCTTTTGCATCTCCGTCCCGCGCCAGGACTCGAGGACGGTGCAAGCGGTGGTCTGTCTCGCGAGCATCCACGGTCTCCCCGAGATGCCTGTAATAGATAGGTATGAACTGCTGGCGGGAGTAGCCGTACACGTCCAGCTATCCTTCGATAACTTTTGTTTCGCAAGCTCGATGTTGCTCCCTTTGGCGCTGGTCTGCACCATGCCCATTACATCATACGCCTCCGCTTGGCCCCTCATGAACCCTTGGGCCACTGGGCCCCACTCAGAGATACTCGCGAAGAACCGCATGCCGACGAAGCTACGACCTCCGCCTGGTTGCGGGACTCGTTGCGGGCCGCCTCCACTGCGGCGAGGTACTTGGCGTCCACGGCGTCGTTGCGTTCTGCTTCGTCCGCTGCCGTTGGGGCCGCTGGTGTCGGGCACGATTCATATTGTTTATCGCCATCTTGCTGTCCAGGTTGGTCAGCTGCTTCGCTTTCCTGCCCACCACTCCCACCCTTGGCGATCAGGCCCTTGTCGCCGCGGAACCTCTTGGCGGGGTTCGTCGACGGTTTCCTGCAGCTCCTGAATCTGCTTGAACGTCTCTGAGATGTGTGGTTCTCAATGCCTCGTAGCTCCTTCTGCAGGGCGTCGACACATTCCACCAGGGCGATGAACAACTGACCATCCACAACGAAAATGATGCGCATTCCGTCGCTGATGTAGCCGTCTGGTGGAGAAGCATGCTGGCGGGGCCGATGGACCGTAGCCGGAAGCATCTCGACTGCCTCTTCATGTTCTTCATGGGTTTGGGCATGCTCGACGGTGGCATTGGCGCACGTATTCTGGGCGCTGGCGAGAACGCGCTCGGCGCGGATGATGGCGTCGGAGGCCTTTGCCACCAGCGCACTCTTCTTGTTAACGGTGCGCAGGGCAGGCTGGACCTCCGCGTGCGGATTGTTGGTCCTGGGCTTGAGACCTTCTCCGTGCTTGATGCCTGAGCATTTTCTTAGGGTGGAGGGCTCAAGGTGAAATCCATATGGGCTTTCGCACCTCGAAAATCAATCCGTCTTGTGAATCACCTTTTGCAAATTCCTTCGAAAATACATAGAAACGGCATTTCAGATTTCACCCTTCGCCCTCCACCCAAAGAAAATGCTCGAGATGCGGAGTTGCTGGACAAGATCGGAGCCGACGAACTCAGGGAGGAGCGCCAGCTGGTCCAGGAACACCTCGGGATTCCCCGTGGGCGCAAATGACCAATCGCCTGACCACCACGGGGGCGCGCTTCGGGGGCGAGCGGAGGCTGGGCTTCGAATCGCACGAGCACAGAAGCCCATGCTGCGCTTGACACGGAATGTGTAGGCGCAATTTCGGCGGCGAGCTCGGGGGGGGAAGCGAGAAGGGGCGGGCCTTGTCAGAAGGCTTGGAAGCCCCCCGGCCTTCCGAGAAGTGTTCCAAGCCTCCCCCGAACACACAGGAAACGCCTCAGAAGGCGCGAGGGCTTCTGAGAAGCCCCGCCGCCTTCTGAGGAGGCCTTCTCCTCCCAGAGATCCGATATCGTGATTTTTTCAATACGGGGTCCCCAGAAGTCTCGACCCATTCCCCAGGACCGGCTTTTCATCTTGAGTCGTTTTTTGACGGTCCCGGGGCCTGGCGAGTGCCGCTGGAGGCCGAAAATCGAGCAAAACCTCCGTCTTGATTCTTTTCCATACGCTGGAGGTCTGGGCTTCGAGCTGCCCCCCCCTCGCTCGCCGCCGCCAACTCCCACAGCCGCCGCACCGCGAGGACACCGCGGGCACGACCGAGGCCGAGGGGAGCGGCTGCAGCTATCACCCGAGCTGCGCGTGGCCTCCTGTGCGGACGGGCTCTCCCGCGGGCAGGCGTGCCCCGGCGAGCGACGAAGAGAAACGGGTCTCGCCCTCGTCCTCGTCCTCCTCCTCCCCCTCCTCCTCCTCTCTCCTCCCTCCTCCCTCCTCCTCCCCCCTCCTCCTCCTCCTCCTCCTCCTCCTCCTCCTCCTCCTCCTCCTCCTCCTCCTCGCGGCGACCTCACGCGGCGGCACGCGCGGGCCGCCAGCGCGGCACGCCACACGGGAGGCGCGGGCGCCCACGCACGACCCTACGCGGGCGGCCTGCGCGCCAGCGTCGGCGCGGCCGACCCCGTGCTTTCCGTCGCCCAGGACGACAAGGAGGGTGGGTGACGGAGGAGCTAAGGGAATAATGCGACGCACACAGCGCACACGAAGGCACTAGCCCGACACTGACCCGACACCAACTTCCAAAGAGCCGCGCCAATTGGGGTAGAGGAGGTTCCCACGACAAGATGCCGAAGCCCAGGTGAAGAGGGGGTCGGGACAGGGATTGGGACTGGCCTCGGACTAGAGGTAACCACGTGTGCTCCCCTGCGGGGCAGTGCATCTTGAGCCAAAATGGCTACGGAGGTGAGAAAAGGGGGGAAGGAGGCGGAGTACAGGGATGGGGCATTGAAAAACCGCTCCAGCTCAGACAGGGCGCTGAACTTGAGCGAGTCATAATTCCTGCCTCCTCCCTGCTGCGCTGCTTACCTTGCACAGTGGAAGAGTTTGCCGTAGGCATAAGTCAAAGGCTCGCACCGACGTGCGGCACGCAACTATTCGCTCCCGGGATAACGGAAAAAGAAGAATGGAGGAAGGAGGAGGGAGGAGAACGGAAGGAAGTGATAGGATAGACGATGCAGGACGGAGAAGTGGGGATGAGGACAAAACGATAAGGATGGCGGCAAGAAGGAAAAAGGAGACGCAGAGAGGAGGGTCGAGAGAGGAAGAAGGCAAGAGGGAGAAGGTAGAGTGGAGGACTGAGGGTGGATGGAACTGGGGAAAACAATAGGTACCGATACTGCTACTCCCCGGACCTCTCCCTGGGTTCTGACCAGGATTTCGAGGCGAAACCAGCGGTGCAGACGAGGGCCTCCCAGAAGGCCCAACAAGGGGGAAAAGAGGCAAAGGCAGCGGCATGCCGAGGAGGAGGGAGGCGGGAGGGAAGAGGGAGGGGGCTACGGGCGGCGGCGCTGCCGTACACCACGGAGGAGATGGACAGCACCGGCTTCCAGTCCTCGCGGAGGATGTTGAGGCACACGTTGCCCTGCGCGGCCCCGCGCGATCTCGCTCGCGCTCGCCCCAGCCTCCTCAAGGGCACCCAACTTCGCGCTTCGCGCTGCTCGAAGCTCGAAGCGCGAATCACTTCACGCTCTCGCGCCGCCCCCCCGGGGAGAAGAGGAGTAGGAGGAGGAGGAGGAGGAGGAGGAGGAGGAGGAGGACGACGAGGAGGAGGAGGAATCGGAGCCAGACCGCGAAGCGCGAAGCGCGAATGACTTCGCGCCATCGAAGGCGCCCTTGCCTTGCCCTCCGCGAGGAGCACGCAACGAGGGCCCAGAGCCGATCCAAGAGATCCGTGCGGACCTCCTGAAGTTTGTGTTTATGCCGGCGTTTCTTCATCAGGTGGAAGACCTCCTCCAATTCTCCCTCCGCCTCCCGCCCCTTCCCCAAGTAATCTTCCTTTGCCACATCCTCCTCCTGCTGCTCCTCCTCATCCTGCTCCTCGTCCTCGCCCTCCTCGCCCTGTTACTCCCTCCTCCTCCTCCTCCTCCTCCTCCTCCTCCTCCCTCCTCCATCTCCTCCTCCCTCCCTCTCCCTCCCTCTCCCTCCCCTCCCTCCCTCTCCCTCCCTCTCCGTCCCTCTCCCTCCCTCCCCTCCCCCTCCTCCCCCCCCTCCCTCTCCTCCATCTGCTCCTCCTTCCCCCCCCCCATCCCTCCCTCCCTCCGTCATCCTCATCCTCATTTTCATCCTCATCCTCATCCCCCCTCCTCCCTTCCTCAATTCCTCCCTTCCTCCCTTCCTTCCCTCCCTCCCTTCTCCCTCCCTCCCTCCCTCCCTCCCTCCCTCCCTCCCTTCCCCCCTTCCTGCCTTCCCGCCTTCCTGCCTTCCCCCCGTCCTCCCTTCCTCCCTTCCTATATTCCTCCCTTCCTCCCCTCCTCCCCTCCTCCTCCTCCTCCTCCTCCTCCGCCGCCTCCGCCTCCTCCGCCACCTCCTCCTCCTCCGCCTCCCGATCCTCCTCTTATCATTAAATTCTTCTTGTTCGTATTATTATGACTCCTCATATTCATAGTATTCGCACAATTCTTCTTCGCATTACTACTCTTATGCTTCGTATGATTATTTACTTGTTCATAGTCTTATGCTCATTGTTTTTCCTCCTCATCAGCATCATCATCATCATCTTCATTATCATCATCATCATCATCATCATCATCATCATCATCATCATCATCATCATCATCATCATCATCATCATCCTCATCCTCATCCTCATCCTCATCCTCATCATCATCATCATCATCATCATCATCATCATCATCATCATCATCATCATCATCATCATCATCATCCTTCTCCTCTTCTTCCTCCTCCTCCTCCTCTTCCACGTCCTCCTCCTCCTCCTCCTCTTCCTCCTCCTCCGCCTCCTCCTCCTCCATTCCTTTCCCTTTATAAATGAATTGTCCCTGTCGCACCCCGAAGCCAGTTTTTAGGGCGGGCCGGGCGTTTCGCCTGAGATTTCCTCACCATGTACGACCCTGAAACTTTAAAATTTGGACACGCTTCACAAATGGCGGGCGGGTCGTTTTCAAAATGTGGCTCCCGCCTTAGCGCGGCGCGCATTCGTTTTAATCACTTGCACGAATTTAACGGGTTGAGGGCGACCCGTTTTCGAAATGCGACTCTCTCCTTACCTTCGTTTCAAAAATTTGCAAAAGGGTTTCGCGGATTGAGAGCGGGTCGTTTTCAAAATGTGGCTCTCGCCTTAGCGCGGCGCACACTCGTTTTGAACATTTGCAAGAATTCACGGATTGAGGGCGACCCGTTTTCAAAATGTGGCTCTCGCCTCAGCGCGGCGCACATTCGTTGAAGCATTTGCAAGAATTTCACGGATTGAGGGCGACCCGTTTTCAAAATGTGACTCTTGCCTTAGCGCGGCGCACACTCGCTCCAACAAAATGCCTGAATTTCACGGATTCCAATCATCAACGTGTCAGAGATGTAGTTTTGAAAGGACTCCGGATTATGCGGGCGCAACAGCTACGTCAGTTCGCTAGGAATGGCGCTCTGGCTCGATTCGGGATCGTCAAGCTACAACAGTCAGGCTTATCCGCGGAATTAAAATCCTGGGAGCAATGTTTTGGCATGCTTCAGGGTGTGCAAACGGCTGTCTTCCAACGAGGCAGTTCCCCCAATGGAAATGAACCGTTGTGGGGGCCTATGAAGAAGGAGCTTGGAGAAAGGGTGAATCCAATTTCGTTGGTGACTCTTGGGTTTACACTGGTCCTCCTCCTCCTCCTCCTCTTCCTCCTCCACTCTTCCACTCCTCCTCCTCCTCTTCCTCCTCCTTTTCCTCTCCCTCCGACTCTCCCTCCTCCTCCTCCTCCTCCTCCTCCTCCTCCTCCTCGTCCTCCTCCTCCTTATCCTCCTCATCCTCCTCTCCCTCCGACTCGGGGGGAGCGTTAAAGGGCTCTTCAAC